CCTTTTGTACCAGCTCTGACTCTAATTGCCTGAGAATAGGTCACAAAAATATACATTTAAATATATACTATAAAAGAGCATTATCTTGCCTTTACAACTGAGTATAATAATGAAAGTGTCTGGATTTTTTTCTTTTCATATGTAATATTGGTGGAGTCTACCTAAGCACCTTCTGGACAGCACCTTCCACTGAAGACCTCTGGTAGAGCCACTGGGAAGACTAGGCTATGTTTTTCCATGCCAGAACACTAGGCAAAGTGCTGAGAGAGATCAACTGATCTATTGGGCTCCATGAAATGGCAATCTTGCTTTTCTGAATACAAAAAGAGAACTCAAGGAAAAGGAGTAGGGGTGGGGGAAAGCTGAGGTTTGGGTTCCCCGTGGGTCTGGGAGAACTATTTCTTTTCTGTCAGGACACAATTTCCTTTCCAGGAAAGTCTGACCTGTACTTTTGGATGGAGACAAGAGAAGTTGAGTGAGTTGTCTAGAATCACACAGCCCAGATGATAAACCAATTCACTTCAACAAAGAATGCAAAACTTTGTGCAAGATACTGGGAATACAAAATTTTAAAAATGACTTTTCCTTTTGGGAATTTATAGCCTATTTGGGGGCATTCCACTTCACAGATAAGCTTATGAGAAGGAAGAGTGGGTTCAGGGTAAAAAAGAGATCCAGATATAATGCTCTAGAAAAATCTGAGGGAGGAGACAGTACCTACAGGAAGGGGTGATATCCGTAGGAGATCATGAAGAAGGGAGCACTTGGGTCAAGCATTGAAGGAAAAAAATTTTGACAGGCTGGGATGATCGGAAGTCTCCTTTTAACTCATGGCAAAATGGATTATGGCTTCCTTAAAAGCGATCTCCTCTCCCCAATCTAATTTCCCATTCCCTCAGTGGGCTAGTTCAACTGGGTTTGAGGCACAAAGCAATCTGATAATCTGACTAAAGTAATTCACCCTGAGGTTGTGAGGGTTAACTCACTGCAAAAGGAGGCATTTGCATTTTAAAAGAGAAGCTGCAAATGAATCCCTAATTGTAGACTAGGGGTGTGTGTGTGTGTGTGTGTGTGTGTGTGTGTGTGTGTTGCCCGGGGGGGGGGGGAGGTGTCCTAGAGAAAATGTGTGATATTAAACTAGATGAACTCCAAGATCCTTTGAGATTCTAAGATTTTATGATTCAAATATAGGACATATTTTTCTATAGGGTTAGAGTTTATTTAGTCAACACAAGATAAAACTGTTTTTATGCTGTCTAGAAGACCAAAAATAGCTTCTGATCTTCTTTGAAGCTCAAATTTGCACAAAGGAGCCTTAAAATGAGAACTCTTTCTCAAGATTCTAGAGGATTTTATTTGGATGTCCTCTGATTCAAAAGATTTCAGAGTGGATTAGGATGAAGTACTTCAGGTGATCCTAGAACTAGCAACTACATCGTGAATCTCTAAAAGTCAGGAACCTGGGGAAGGAAGGAAGGAAGGAAGGAAGGAAGGAAGGAAGGAAGGAAGGAAGAAGGAAGGAAGGAAGAAGAAAGAAAGGAAAGAAAGAAAGAAAGAAAGAAAGAAAGAAAGAAAGAAAAGGAAGGAAGGAAGAAAGGAAAGGAAAGGGGAAAGAAAGGAGAGGAAGGAAAAGAAGGAAGGAAAAGGAGGAAGGAAGAAGAAGAGAAAGAAAGGAGGGAAGGAAGGAACAAAGGAAGGAAAAAGACAAAAAAAGGAAAGAGGAGATAAAGAAAACAAAGTAAGGAAAAGGAGGGAAAGGAACAAAAGACAAGAAGAAAGGGAAGGTAAGAGATAGAAAGCAAGAAAGAAAGAGAAAGAAGGTAAGAAGAGAAGAAAATTAGAAAAAGAAGTGAAAAAGAAAGAGGAAGGAAGGAAGAGATTAAGGAAAGGAAGGAAAAGAAAAAAGTCAGGGAAGGAAGTGAAAGAAAGAGAAAGAAGGAAAATAAAGGAAAGAAAAGACAGAAAATGAAAGAGAAAGAAGGAAAGGAATGAAGAAAGAGAAATTAAGGAAGGAAGAGAAAGAAAGAAAGAAAGAAAGAAAGAAAGAAAGAAAGAAAGAAAGAAAGAAAGAAAGAAAGAAAGAAAGAAAAAGAAAGTTGCTGTGGTTATGAGTTTCGTGGGTAAAGCTATCCTACTCCCATTTCAATCGCTGTGATACTCCTTTCCTCCAGGATTTTAGGAAGGGGCCAGAATAAAGGTTGAGGACTAGGGATTTTTCGGTTCCAGAAGCCAAAAACTCGTTCTAAGAAAACATCTGCAATAAATTTGTACTGGGGGAGAGGACTTCGTGTGAAATGTCAATTTGTCTTGTGGACAAAACTGTACTTCATTTCCATTTATCTTTTGGAGAAAACAGAGTGGGGGGGAGGGCATCCTGTTCTTAAGTCTAATGGGCAATGTGGTTCCCCATTGCCAGTAGTCACAGCAAAAAGCTGATAAAAAATACATGATCTTAAAAATCCATGATCTTAAAAATGGGAGCAGCGGTGTCCGGGAATGAATAGCAGGAGGTGAGTTCTTCCCTTCGCGTCAGACACTCGCCGACCTTTCCTCCAAGGCAGCATGGGCCCAGGGTCTAAGTTGGGGATGGAAATTCAAAAGACAAGTCTGTATGAAGGGAAGGAGGGAGGGAGGGAGCTCTCTTGAGTGCAACACTTTCCCTACTGTTGTCTAACTCTAACGAGCGTAACAAACTTACTAATTGTTTGCTTGCAGTTAAAAGGATAAATGCGTTTAGGCAGCCTATATTTTATTCACAAGCGATTTATTCCCGGTCTTGATCTTTCCTCTTGAGACAGAAAAAGAGAAGCATTAGAGGGTGTCTTCGCTGTTGGTAGTAACCTGTACTTGGGGGTCCGCTTCACCTACATCACTCTCCATCTGCTTCTTGTCTCCTGGCAGTTAGGTTCAACTTCTTGTCCTCGATCGGTAACATTTTCCATCCCAATTCGATCTTTCTCTATCTGACCTTCAGAACTCTTTTCTGCTTAAGGCTAAAGATGGTGACGGGGGCCAGGGAGATCTGCGCTGGGAAAGGATCTGATCTGAGGCAGACTTCTCAAAATTAAAAAGTTAAGAGAGAAAGGGGAGGGGGAAAGGATTCTCATTAGGGGACACCCCCCTCCCAACATTTGTTACCGTTATACACAAATTCAATGTGTATAGTGAAATTGGAGAGCCAGAGACTACAGAGTTTGCCCTTCCTCCCTTTTCCCCAAAGGACTCCTTATGTGACAATTCAATGATGATCAACCCAATCCCTCTGTCTGGAGTAAGAAGGAGGGAGCTACTTTTATTAGGAATGAAAATGTAAAAGTCTTAGAGCCGGAGGGACAGGAGGAAAAACAAACAACTTTCTTCCTACACCAAGTCTCAATGCATAAACCCAAACAATCTTTCCAAAGATTACCTTACACCTGGGGCCTTGGTCAGGGATTCTTTCTTTTTCCTCCCTATTTGTCTGTCCTCTCTTTTCCCTTTCTTTGCTTCCTCGTCTTTACTCCATCCAAGGCATACTTTCTTTTTTTTTTCCTAGTAAAAACAGAGGGGTGTGTGTGTGTGTGTGTGTGTGTGTGTGTGTGTGAGAGAGAGAGAGAGAGAGAGAGAGAGAGAGAGAGAGAGGGAGAGAGAGAGGGAGAGAGAGAGAGGGAGAGAGAGAGGGAGGAGAGAGAGAGAGAGAGAGAGAGAGAGAGAGAGAGAGAGAGAGAGAAGAGAGAGAGAGAGAGAAATCCCCCTTTGCACCTTAAAGATATTTGCAATACTTTGATTTTAGTTTTTCCTCCTGCTGTTCAGGATGCCACAAGGTAGTTTTAACATTTATCTGATGAGTTGTGTAGAAAGCAGGACGATGTCACATTTCCTCACTGAATTAAAAAGAAGTAGGCTTAGGCAAACAATGAGTTGTGGAAAATGAGGTTTGTTTAGCATTTACTTTATATTAATATTTGAGGGGCTTCCACACTTGTTTTTTCTTTTTTGCAAAAATGTTTACCAAGGCAAATCTACCAGGAAATCAAAAGACAACAAAAGATGATTTTTCTTCCTGACAAATGCTTGGGGTATTGAAAAAAAAAAGATATCCAAGTGGTATTTGTAATTCTCTCCCCCCCCATCTCCATATCCCCATTTTAGCAGGAAGGAATGAAGAATCCTTGAACAACATCACCAAACATCCAAAGCGGAGAAACACCACATGAGAGAGGAGGGAGGAAGGAAAGTTGACTCCAGCATAAATGTGCCAACTGTTTGAGGAGCAGTTGAGATATGGTCATTTTACCAATGTTGCAGATCTGGTTACCTTTAATACACCCCAGAGGCCAGCATGCAATGTCTTACACTAATAGGCATCTGTCAACAAGGGTGTCAGGTTCTCCCACATGTGCTGAATGCTTCGTAGAAGCAAAGGGAAAAACCAGCAAATCAGTCTTTCCTAGCTTGGTTAAGCCACCCTCAGATCTGAACAGATTTCAGATCTCTTGGAATGGCTGTGGAGGGCACAGAGAAGCAGGTGGTAGAGAATCTTCTCCTGACACTCTATGAGCTGGGGGGATGGAATAAGAGAGAAAGGGTAGAGTTTCTTCCTATTTCAGATGCTCCTTCTCTCCCGGAATCCCTGAATTGTTCTCAATACTTGAGGGTAATGTGGATTAGGGTCGCCTTAGGTAGTTGCTGACTGTTCCTATGAAAACACATCTCTGGCTTTCAATTAAGCAGATTTTTAACAATTGAATTTGCTTTGTTCTGAATTGCTCTTCAGCCTAGATTTCAGGAACCATCTGGACAGGTCTTCCCAGTAGAGTACAGTACATATACCCATGGGTTCAAGAATGTCCACTAAGCATCATAGGGTTGTGGAGAATGTCCACTAAGCATCATAGGGTTGTGGATCATAGGAATGATTTCATTCCCTCTTATGTACACAGAGTAAATTATTTGTAGCATTTATTCGTGTATATTTGGATTCATACTGTATATATCACAATGTACATTTGTATCGACAGGCTTATGCAGACTACAGACTGCAGAGATGATACAGTTGCCTTACAGTTCCCAGAGGCAGAACTAGCAGAAAAATGCACACCAGGCTTTTCGTGTTTTCCCCAATTACACGAAAGCTCTTCCTCTAAACTATGTAAAATAAATGACCTCAAATATAACCACTAATTGCCTCAGAGTCAATGTTTTCTCATCACTCAACTTTATTGCCTCCCAATCTCTAGGCACTACTCTCTTGGGAGCACTGCTCCCTCCCAAGGGAGAGGCCTGGAAAAAGGACACTCACTCACAGAGTCTGCTGCTAGGTGGGCTCAGGTGGAGATGTTGAGGGAGTAGGGAACGCACCCCACCCCCTCCCAGAGGACAGCAAACTAGGGGAGGAGAGGAGGCTAAGGGTCTAAACCTGGACATCCCAATGACAAACCGGGTAAAGAACTATATACATATCGCCCCCTGCAGGTCCTTCTCCGCCATTACGATTATAGCCTCCTCTGAGCCCCCAAGTGGGACCCAATCTGCTCCTCGATTTGCTTTGCCTCCCAATTCGTTCTTATTTCACTTAATGGCCCCTACCAGCCTCCATCTCCGTCTATTCTAATTAAACGGAGAAGAACCACCGATCTGGGTTTCTCTCCTGATTCAGTGCAGCAGCGACAGCAGATCCGGGAATAGGGAATGACTTTTTTTAAAAAATAAAAACAGAAAAAGGTGAAAATGTAAAAAAAGAAAGAAAGAAAAAGAAAGAAAAAAAGTCTGAATTCTAAGAGTCTGGGTAGACGAAAACTAAAATCCTTCCCTTAAGACCTTCTCCACATTCTCCTCTTATTAAAAGCAGAAACTGGGCTCGTTGCGTTAGAAATCTCGTTTTCGCCAGTTGGTTTCAATACCTCTACTTGTTTGTGCCAGCATTCAGGAGAATCAGATTTGTGCTCACTCTTATTATTATATTGTTACTCTCCACACATCCCATGCCCCCCAACACAGACAAATATGCAAAATCCCAAAGAAGAGCTCTCTATCCGAGCTACAAACACGCCACTTTCCCTGATAAAACCCCCCCAAAAAAACTTTAAACACCGTAGTGGAGTGATGGTCGGTTTTCGGGGGACCCCGACCCCCCAGCGAAGGAAAGGCAAACCTCAAGGTTGGAGGCCTCGATTTCTAGGGGGAGAGAGAGTTGGAAAGAAAGTTACGGGTGGATCTCACCGCCTCCACACCCGTCTGTCTAATAAATAGCACGAGCAAAGCCCGGGCGAGTAGGGGCCGCTGGTAGCGGGCGGCGGGTTCTGAACCACGCCAGCAGCGGCCCCAGCAGCAGTAGCGGCGGCGGCGACGGCAGCGGGGCTGTAAGGTATGGCTGCTATGTACGGAAATATGAGTGAGTAATTTTATAAGTAACAAAGGATCAGGGCTGGAATGAAGCCCCTGTTATCCAATGTCATTTAGAAGCCTGGCATCAGCAGCTTCTTGAGCCTAAAAGTGAATCCAAGAAGGTCTTCCTTTCCCTTTTCCCAGGGGTATCTGCTAAATATAGAAATAACCTCTGTGTGTTTGCACAAATCATGGGGCCATTTGCTGTTGTGTAAAAACCGATTAGCTAGACACAACTGTGAAACAACTTGTTACTTTTATAGCTGCAACACACAAACAAAATTTAGATCCGTTTAGTTTTCCTTGTAAAAGGAGATTAGAAGGGTCTCCATTTAGGGACCCTCCTGGAGACCTTAGGAGACATAATCTCTTCTTGCTTAAGGTGACTGTGGTCCCTTTTCTTGTCTGATGATTATCTGGTCCTTATTCATCAAGGTCAAACTCCCTCCGCCAGGCAGCTTGTTTTATTTTCGTATAGCTGGATCCTGAGGTCTGAATGTTTACTCAGGACTCAATAATATTTACTGTTTCCCAGGAAAACAAATGCTGTGTGTATGCAAGTACGTTTCTTTTAAAGCAGCCGAATGCTAGAGACTCTTCTGACAGGCAAGAAATGAGCGTCCGAGGCGATAGAGTAGAAGTAACTCAGGAAAGCTGGATTATTACAAGAGTGGCTGCGGTGGCCTTAATATGAAGAATTTACTGCCGTTTGCAAACAGGACAACACCCTGAACAGGGGCATCTCTTAGGTTACGTTTAGAACTTTACCGTTTTCAAAGGAATCCCCACCCCTCCCTTCTCGAGCTTCCTCATCCATTCTATCAACAGTTACAGTTGGTTACAAAATAATTGGGCTGAGAAAACGCTACCTTTCTGAGCTGTGTGAAAAGCTCGAAGAAAAGGAATATGGCCCGAGTAGCACTTGGCTTGTTCATTCCACCTTCACACTTTGGCCTTTTTTTTTAAAGGTCAAAAGCAATGAAATGTGCGTTTTTGGAAATACTCTTGCTGATTTTTGACAATATTCCCCAGCCCTGGCGTACAACCCTTTACCCTCTAGTCTCACAGCCAACGTGCAAAGAACAAAAGATTTTTAAAAATAGGTCTCATTGAATCTGTCTTTAAAAGGTTATTAAAGCTCTGTAATGAGCCATGCTATAAAGTAGGGTGAGGGGGAGGAGGCAATCATAGAAAGCCTTCAGAAATGCGGTTATTTTGTGGATTCGTAGATGACCTTATTTAGATTTGATAGGAAATTTGATGAGCTGGAGAATCATTTCAGTTCCACTGCAAAATTAATTACAACTCTTTTTAGATGCAGTAAGGGAATTTGAGAATAATTTATTTACCAGCTATACTTATCACTCCGACACCGATGGGACAAGATAAGGTATTCAAAATAATTTTTAAAAATATCAGATTCTAAAATGACGTAGAAATTTGCATTCACTTGAAAGGATATTTTGGAATGGTTAAAAAATCCCTAAAGCTGTCATTTGGAAAGACAAAGCTGATCTTTAAAAAAAAAAAGGAGAGAGAGAGAGAAGAATGAGCTATTGTTTTGAATTAAGGTGGGTTTTCAAAATAAAACTGAATTAATCTACCGAACCCTTAGTCGTTTAGACTTTACGGGCCGAAATGAACAATCTAGGCACCTAGCCTGACTTTATCTCAAAAACGGGACAAAAAATTTCATGTCTCTATTTATACTTCCCCAGATTTAAATTTCTCTTGCAAAGCAAATTATAAATAACAAAGTTTGAAAAGGTTGTTACTTGAAACAACATGAATTTATGAGAAAGCTAAAATATAGATTTCTATTTTAAAATCCTGTCATGTAGGTCGGGCAACTAAATAAAACACTGGGGTCAGCATTTTAAAAATTTATTTACAAAGTTGTGTACGACACGATGGAATAACATTTAGAATAACATATATTCATTCATATATAAACAGACTTCTATAATAGAATGACACTTTTTTCGCCTTTTTGAAAATTTTTTTATATTTAAAATTTCCCAACGATTTTATACACTTTTTTTTCTCAGATAAAACTGCGGAGAGTGAACCTTCCAAAAAATGAAAGTTCAGAGCTCTAAATCTACCGGATTTGTTTTTCTTAAAAAAATAAAAACCCCAAAAGGAAAGTCAATAATTTTTATACAAATATGTACAAATGATTCCTCCCCGCGTTACTGGGTGCTGTCGCCTTCGGGACTTTTGGTTATTGAGTTGGTTTTTACCTGCACAGAAAGCACTCCTGCCAGCTTCATATTTGCTCAGACCAAGTGTGTTTGTGGGTGCCAGGAGTGGGGGGAGCGAGGTCAGGCTCCCTTGGCTGCCCCTTTAACAGGGGTGCGCTGCTCGGGGTGGGGGGCCTCGGGGTGCGCTGGTCCGGAGAAGGGGCCTTGGGGAAGGGTGCTTTGCTCGGGACGGGGGAACCGCTGGGCAATCGAGTCGGGTAGGGGAGCTCAGGGCACGGGGTAGGCGGGGCGGGGGGGGGGGGGAGGCCAGAGCTGGAGCTCAAGTTCTCGGGCCCCTAGGGCCGGCCAGGGAGGGTCAGGGGCGGGGGCAACGGAGGCTACTATTGAGCCGGCCATTTGGCCTGTCCCGCGGCCGCCGCCGAGGCTGCGGGCTGCAGGAACTGTCCGGAGAGGGGCACGCTCAGAATGGGCGCGATGGCCGCCGTGGTCCGGCTCAGGGAGAGGGGCTGGTGCGTGGCCATGAGAGCCGCCGACTGCACCGAGACGGGCGGCCGCAGGAAAGTCTGAGCCGCCGCCGCCGCCGCGACGCCGCCGCCCGCCCCGGCTCCCGGGCCGCCCGGGCCGCCTCCGCCAGCCCCAGCACCTGCGCCCCCGCCGGGGCCGCCGCCCGGGCTGCCGCCTCCGGCCGAGCCCCCGGCCGCTGCGGACACGCCGATGATGTTTTCGATGCTGAAGGAAGGCCGGCTGCTGGGCTCGGCCTTGATGAGCGACGAGGTGGCTGCGGCGGCGGCAGCCGCGGCGCCCAGGCTGTTGAGCTGCAGCTGCAGGCCCGGGCTGAGGGGTGAGCTGCCGAAGGCGGCCGTCTTGCGGCCCAGCTCCCCCGAGGGCAGCAACGGCACGGCGGGCGGCAGCATGGGCCCCACGGGCGGGATGTAGGGGTACTGCAGCGCCGCCGCCGCCGCCGCCGCCGCCGCCGCGGCCGGGTGCGGGTAGGCGCTGGCCGGGGGCAGCCCGTAGGGGCGGCCGTAGGGGCCCGCGGCCGCGGCCAGGCTGTAGGCGCCGAAGCTCTGCATCATGAGCGCCGTCTGCTCGCGCAGGTGCTCCTGCTGGTGCCGCTTGAAGCGCTTTCTCCGCCGCAGGAAGCTGCCGTTGTCGAACATGTCCTCGGACTGCGGGTCCAGCGTCCAGTAGTTGCCCTTGCCCGGGTTGCCGGGCTCCCGGGGGATCTTGACGAAGCAGTCGTTGAGCGAGAGGTTGTGGCGGATGCTGTTCTGCCACGCGGGGAACTTCTCCCCGGTAGTAGGGGAAGCGGTTGCTGATGAACTCGCAGATGCCGCTCAGGGTCAGCTTCTTCTGCGGGCTTTGCAGGATGGCCATGGTGATGAGCGCGATGTACGAGTAGGGAGGCTTCACCAGGCTGTTCTTGGGCTTGCTGGGGGCCAGGCCCGCGGCCGCCCCGCCGCCCCCGCCGCTGCTGCAGCCGCCCCCGCCGCCGCTCTCCTCGCCACCTCCCCCTCCACCTCCTCCCCCTCCGCCTTTGCCGTCCGCCTCGGCCGGACTGCCGCCGCTGGGGTCGCCCCCCCGCCGCCGGGGCCGCCTCCTTGGGGAGGCACAGGGGCTGCTGCTGCTGGGGCTGCTGATGCTGCTGCGCCAGGGGCGGCTGCTCGTCCGCCTCGTCCAGGCGCAGTTCGGGGGGCCCCGCGGGGCTCTCGCAGCCGCAGCCGTCGCTGTCCTTCTCCTCCAGCCCTTCGTCCCCTTCGCCCACCACATCGATATCCACGTCCTCGGCCGTCAGCACCGTCTGGCCGGACATGTCGCTGGCGCTGCCGCCGCCGGAGAGGGTCATACCTTCTCGGAGTTTAGTGGCAGCGGCGGCGGCCGCGGCGTTGGTGGGGAGGGAGTGGTGGCAGTGGGGAGAAAAGGAGGGGAGGGAGGAAGTGTGAGCGTGGGGTAAGTTAGGAGGCTGGCTGGGCTGGGCTGGGCCGGGGAGAGGAAGGGGGGGTCCTCTCAGTCTCAAAAGATGGGAAAATTGGGGGAGGGGAGGAGGAGAGGTGAGGGTGGGGAAAGAGGGGGGAAGGGGAAGAAGGGAGGAGGGGGTTGCAGTGGCTCCCCGGCTGCCTTCGGCTCAAACTCTCCGGCTTGTGCCGCTTCTCATCTGAGCAGCTGCAGGTGATTCCGTCTGTTTCCCTGTCTCCTTCTCAGCTCTTCTCTTTTTTTGAAGGGCCTCTCTTCTTTTCACTCGGCTTTCAGTGGCTTCCAGATTTTGCCCCCTTACTTCTCTCTCTTCCTGTCTTCCTCCCTCTCCTTCTCTCTCTCCCTCTCTCCCCCTGGATGTGGGGGGGAGGAGGAGGAGGAGGAGGAGAGGTGCTGGCTGGAGGCGGTGGGCTGTGGGATGGTTATCTCCAAGTGGTTGCGGGAGAGAGAAGGGGGGGAACTAGAAGGGGGAGGGGGGTGTCACAGGGACTTAAACCCCCTTAGTTGAAAGTCCTGTTTTAAAGACTGGGCTGATAGATTACTTTCCACTTAAAGATATAGCAGGAGGCGGGGCCACGTGACTGCCCGTGACGTCAGGGGCCCCACTGCTAAGCCATGCAAAACTCAAGTTGTTTCATGGAATTGTCAACAAAGAGACAAGAGTAGCACAACTTATCATCACAGGCAAGCATCATTTCAGCCCACAGCCTTCCTTCACGCTAGCTGGGGACTATATCAATGGGAAGCCCATTAGTCAGCCTTTACCTAAAGATTACACATTACAGGCAGTTCATTTCATTACATTGGAAGCAAAAGGGGTGGGGGGGCGCGCGCGCGTGTTTTCCCCTCTCCCCTCTCCCCCTTCCCTTCCTTTTTCTCCCCCTCCCCCTCTTCCATTTTCTCTTTCCCAATAGTTATATAGCTGGGAGTCGCTGAGCAGTTAACAACGAGATCTTGATCCGAGTTTCCCCCTTCAGGTTTTTTCCCCCGCCCAAGAAAAGTTAATCGCTCTGCGTTTTCAAAATGCAATAAAGACTGAGTAAGGCAGACGTTCCCAACTCTGGTAGTATTGCCAGAGCGCTAGAAGTAAGAATCCATCTTTCCTGACCTTAATGCACATTAAGCGGATGCTGCAGCCCAGCCTAGCTGGGCTTGGGGGTGAGAGTGAAAGGGGGGGGGTGTTCAGCGAGAGACAACTTAAAAAAGCAACTTTGGCTCTGCAAACATTCCTGTCTCTGTGTATGTGTGCGTGTGTATATATGTATACTATATACATACATATATCCTTTTTTCCTAACGGTAGCATCAGCTGGGTTACGGAAGATCAGAAAATGACTATCGATTAATCTATTAGATTAGTTGCAAAGAGAAATAAAAAGACGTAAAATAACAAAGAGAAACTGTAAATAAGGAAGCCTTAACCGGCTCCTCAGAGGTGTTAACGACTTAATCATTGCAAGAGTTAGCATACGAAAAAGTAGGAAATGAGGGGAGTGTGAATGTGAAGACTCTATTCAGCCAGCCCAAGGTAAGACTGGTCCCTGGAAAGGATGCTTCAACTTGTCGACTAATTCTGTTCTCCTGGAGCCAAGGGCCTTGTTCAAACTAAGAATAACCCAGCTGGGAAGGCAAGGTCGGAAGCGGGTTCGTTCCGTTGTTTTCCTCTCTGGGTTTTGGTGGGGGGTCTGATCTATGTGGATTCTTACCTGCATGCGTTGCCGTGTGTATTCTGGGCTTTTCAAAGTGGGGGGGGAGCTGCAAAATCAAAGCTATAAATAGAAACGATCGACGGAAGGAGGATGTCGGTTTCCAGCCCGCAGATGCTGGTCGTAAATGCAAATGACATTTCCTTTGGAATGGAAGGCGTATATAAAATACAGACTATCCGCATGGGCTGAATATAGGTATTGAAAAAGGACTTGGACTACTCTAGGGCCACTTCTGCAGCGTTTTGGTTGGCAGGGCTTTTTACTTTTTGCCGCGAAGGAAAATAGATCTCAACGATTTCAACTGGGAACCAATAATTCTTTTCTTCTCCCTTATCTCCGAACATTTAGGGTGAGCATGCGGACTGCTGTCAACTAACCCTCTGCAAGCCCTGAGCCGGCTGCCTCCGCTCGAACCCCAGCTCTGCCAGCGGGAGCTTGAAGAGGAGACACGAGTGGGGCTCCCGCTGTCCCACCCCCCCAGCCCTCCCGGGCAGAGCTGGGCTTGGGCAGGGGAAGGACAATGAATGCCAAGGGGCAAGAATTGATGAGAGACTGGGAGGAATCTGGGAGTGAAGAAGCTGAGCAAAAGGATTGATTTATTTCAGGGTCGGGTACTGGGCTGCTAGTGTTACCTACCCCATCCCCCATGACTCCCCCACCTCCCCACCCCCCCCATCCAGGCTCCAGTCTCTTTCTTTCTGCCTTTTAGCCTATAAACTCCGCAAAGGTAATCTATTCAAACTTGGTTCAATATAGGCTGTCTATACACGTACATTTACAGCGATTGCCCTTAAAGGGAGCATTGGAACCCGAGCAGCTGATTCCAGCCGGGACTCGCGGGGTTTTCTTGGCCGGGAGCTGGGAGCGGGGCTCAGGGAGGGGTGGGGTGGCTGAGATGGGGTGGAGGCCAGAGGGCTGCTCTCTGAGGCTGCCACTCATTTCAAGGATTTATCTCTGTCCCAAGTCAAGCTCCGGGGGGCAGCTGAACCAAGGAAATGCGCCAGGGGCTGGATTTTCGCAGCTGCAACACTGAAGTCTCCGGCTCCAAACCGTTTAAAAACGCTATTTGTAAGGTGTGGAGTGTGTTCGCGCGGGGCGAGGGGGTTGGGTAGAGGGAACAAAACAACCCTTCAATAATCAGAGAATGTCCAGCTTTGAGGGAGAAGAGCGTCTAGGGCGTACCCTGACCCGCACCAGCACCGAGGAAAATTGCGGGGCGGTAGCCTGGAATCTCTCTCCCTTCACTTCCCTCAATAACCCTCCCGCTCCCCCAAAAATAAATTTAAACGTTTGCAAAGCGCCAAACAGAGCGCGATGCGGACCGGGCCCCAGACATGGCTCCTAGCTGCCTGGCCCTCTTGCCCAGGGTCCAGGCCACCACCAGGGCGGTAAGTTCAGGTGCGGAGCGCGTGGGTGAGCGCGCTTTATCGATCGATCGCTGTCTTGTGTCTTCCCGGAGTTCCTTCCAAACGATTCTAATTTCTGTTTGGCCATCTGGACTACCAACAGGGCGGTGGATTTGGGGGGCGCGGAGAGAATAGACCCCGCTCCCTGGGAGGACCCCCTCCCTGCTTCTTTTCCACCCCCACCATCTCCTCGTTCTCTCGCTCTCTCTCTTTTCCGCTGGGGAGAGATGATGCCGTTTGCTTCTTCATCGTCTCTCTGAAATCTCCCGGGGAAAAGGGGGGCGGAGGGGAGGAAGAATGATCAACTCCTAGCTGGGGTTTTCATTTGTTGCGCTTTTTTTTCCGACACAATAAAAGTCAAATTAATTGATTCATACCATTAATTACGGTCCTTAGCGTGAAAAGCAACGCTTCCCCTCGATTAGAGATCTATTGTGCTAATCTCTTGTTCAATCAGTGTTACCATCTGATGCGCGGACCAGCCCCTTATAGAAACTTTTCGACTCGATTAGCTAAATTATTAGACGTGCCGGACCCACTGCGCCGCAGCCCTGACGCCCGGCTCCTGTGCCTGCCCGGCTGTTTAAAATCGATTTAGATCAAAGGGAGGTGGTTTCCAGTCCGACACGCTCTGCTCGGCGGATCCAGCTTCGGCTCCAGCCTGCCTGAATCCTCACTCTCCCAGGGTCTCTGCTCTGGGGGCTGGCTTCACCGGCACGAAGGGGTAGAAATCGGCGTGCTCTCTCTCTCGGGGTTTTTTTTTTAAGGGGGAGGGGGCTTGTAAGGTTGACACGGGAATACTTCTTTTCCTTTAAGATTCCCTATGTAGGAGATGGGCACTGTTTTAGAAAAGTGCAGCAACTGAGTCAAGGAAGCAGGAGGAAACCTGGGTATAAAAGCAGCATTTGGGCGCTTGTAGCTTTCAGACAGTATTTGAGTGTTAACTAGAACGTTTTAAGTCTCATTGCAGTTTGCTGCTAAACCCTGTATGTCTTCAATGAACACGACATTCGATTTGTTATTGTTTATTATTATTATTATTATTATTATTATTATTATGTGTTGTGTGAGAAAGAAAACGAGGAGGAGAAATTGGAGGAGAGGGGGAAGAGAAGAAGAAGAAGAAGAAGAAGAAGAAGAGGAAGGAGGAGGAGGAGGAGGAAGAGGAGGAGGAGGAGGAGGAGGAGGAGGAGGAGGGAGGAGAAGGAGGAGGAGAAAGAGGAGGAGGAGGAGGAGGAGGAAGAGAGGAAAGACAGGAAAAAAAAGAGAAGAGAGAGGGAAGAGAAGAGGAGAGGTGAGATGAGCAGAGGCAAAAAGGAGAGAAGAGAAAGGGTGAAGAAAAGAAGTGAAGAGAAGAAAAAAGGGGAGAGAAGAGGAAGAAATGAGAGAGAAGAGAAAGTGAGAGAGAGAGAGAGAGAGAGAGAGAGAGAGAGAGAGAGAGAGAGAGAGAGAGAGAGAGAGGTTTTTTTCTAATAGATAAACTTCGCAGGATGGGTTGGATAGAAAGAGGTGCCATCCAGCCACCTATTTGCTCAAGTTTTGGGTTGGTTTTTTTTAAAGTATCTCTCCCCTAAATGAGGGGTGGCATGATGGGAGGGAAAAGATGGATTAAAGATGGAAAGTGGAAAAATGGACTAAAAAAAATGAATGAATTTAAAGATCTTCCCCTTCCCTTGCTTCCGTGCAGTCATAGAATCCATTGAAATGGAAGCCAGTGGAAACCACCTGGGCCACAGAGGAAGGAAGGAAGAGGGGGGCAATTTAGGAGAGCGGGGAGTCTCAAGTGCAGAGATTTAAGCAACCCGACCAGAAAGTAAACTGTAGCAAAGATCGATAGGAAGGGAATTGAG